ATTTTTTACCTCTAATACACCACTATGTCCAACTGTCTTTGGGCGCGCACAGGCATCCGGTGAGTGAGGTGTGTATGCGCTCTGGCGTAGTTTACGTTAATGGGTGTGTTGATATCCAGCCGAAGAGTAATCAACCATAACTTCAGGCGAGCAGGCTCAGAAGTTGGGAATACGTGGAAAGTCACCACTCCCGAATGAGTTTGCGCGAGAGAACGTCATCTGTTAGTTTTAAGTCGGTTTTAACAATCTGGATAAGCGCAAGTAAGTACCATTTTGATTAGCCGTCGTACCTACAATGACTGTGCACTGTGTAAACAATGAGTGACGTATACGCGGGAGAGATCACTTCCGGCGCTTGTGTAAACTACACCAGAGCGTGTACACACCTCACGCACCGGATGCCTGCGCGCGCTCAAAGACAGTTGGACATAGTGGTGTATTAGAGGTAAAAAAAAATGATATAAATACTGTTCGGTTTCTGGCACAAACCGATCGTTTCGTGTCTTAGGACATCAATGTGTCGTCACGAGCCGCAGGGTTTAATTTGGATTTGTCTGTGCATGTTTTTTTTACTCTCATAGATTTTGTTACCATTGCCATGCATTATACGACTGATCGACTGCAACGGTTAAAGTTAAAAATCATCAAATGTGTTCTACTGAAGAAACAAAGTCACCTACATCTTGGATGCCCTGGGGGTAAGCAGATAAACATCACATTTTCATTTTTGGGTGAACTATCCCTTTAAATGTTTCAATGAACTGTAGAAATCTGAAGAAGACTGTAGAAATGAACAGGCTACACTTGCCTTAAGAAAAATATAATTATTATTTAGTTCTCGATGGACTTTGTGAGAGTCAGAATACAATATATTTGGGTTACTATAGTGTTTCAGGGTGTTATGAGGTTTATTTTTCTAAGTGTGTGTGTTCGTCCATTAGGGCGTTATTTCAGCAGCACGGTCGGAAATACACAGCCGTCATCCCCACCAACATGTTTGGACCCCATGACAACTACAACATTGAGGACGGTCATGTGATGCCGGGGTTGATCCACAAGACGTACCTGGCAAAGAGTGAGAAACATTTAACTCACAATCACCCTATTGGATGTTTCCTATCGGATGTCAATTAGACATTTAGAAGATGTCTTTAAGATGTTTATGATTTAGAATGCATGTAAACCTGACATCGTAAAGACGTCTATCACATGTTTGTACACAGCAGATGCTTTCCAGATGAAGAGATCTTTAACAGACATCTCGCAGATGTATGTGTGCTATCTGGGCACATTCAGAGCATCCACAAGTTTTAATATGCAATGGATTATCAAAATTAAAACAACACACAGAACATAATATTTTCATGAAATTATTATTATTATTAACAATATAAGGAAAAAAGGGGGAAAAAAGATTGTTTTCATTGTTTTTGACTCATGTAACCTTGCATTTTAATTAATGATGTTATATAAAGACAAGTAAACGGTAATAAATGAACAAATGGCCATGATCATGATTATCAATATTATCACGGTGTTGTTAAAATATGTTGGAAATGTTCAAAAAGTACTCATATACAGTACACAATGAAGGCCATTTTGACTTAATTTTGAGTGTATTTGGCCATTCAAGCGTGAAAAGAAAAGAGATCTCAGTTCTGTAATGGTGCACTGTCAGAGAAGCGGCTCTCTGTGTGCGCGCACAGAAACCATCGCTCGAGTGCCGAAGTTCTCTTTCGTGATTTCTTGCGCTTGAACGGTTTCAAATCTTTTGAATGCTTAAATTGGCAAAACTTAAAAACACATGCATATGATAAACTTTCGTGACGAGTCAAAAATAAAGCATTAAAGGCACAATATGTACGGTTTTTTTATTAAAATAGCAAAATACGTAACACTTTTCTAGTGTTTTTTGGATGACTTGTGTACTTACATTATCCCAAATGTTTCGAAGAATGTTTAAATCCAGAGAAATAAGCAATTTTAACTAGTGACACGGAGCGTGTCTATAGTGTCATTTGACTGTGGCGTAATAAAAGCTCCGCTGCTTTACCCCACATA